AAGAAATTTTACAATGATATATTATCTAATATATGTCCATATTCATTTTTTTCAAGGGCAATATGAATATGGATATATTATATAATGTTATTATAGTTGTTGTTTTTTTCCTTTTTCAATTTGAGATTTAATCAAGGGTGACAAATTACATTTAGTTGTCCCTGTTGTCTAGAAGAGTTCCCCCATCCTCTTTTGTATTTCACGATGTTAATGTTTTTGTAGCATATCCCTCAATTTAGATTTATTTTTCCCCATGATTAGAATCATGCTACATATTTTTAACAAGAATACAACTGAGCTGATGTTGGGTTCTTCTCAGGGAATTAATTACATTAAGAGGCACATGATATCAATTTGTCCCATTATTGGTGTAATTGGCATGTTGCTCCCCAATATCCATTCTCTGCATCATCAGTAATGAAACCCCACTTCCCCACAAGAGCTGTGCACATGGCTTCCCAGAATTGAGTCTGCATTTCCAATCTTCTCTCGCAGCAAGGTGTGGCTGTGTAGTGACTCAGTTTTGAGCAATGGCTTCAAGTGTACTGTGCACCTTTTGGAAATTGTCCTTAAAGGACGGGGAAATGTTTTTTGCTTCTTTCCTCCTTCCTGCAACATAAAATAGCAACCTCCCTCCTCCATGGTGCTTCCTAATCCCCTCGTTTGCCTTGTTTTTCCCCAGAGCACATAACAGCCCCTGAGATGCTCAATTACAGACTTGTTGAATGCATGCATGCTAGATTCTAGGATGGCTCCAAGCCTTTCCAGTGTCCACCTTGAACTTAACAGGAGCCAGAGTCAGGTTTTTCAATAAATAAAAATCAGAAAAATACCAAGTAGCAATTCTCTGCTATTTTAAAACAAAGGATTTCTTATACTTTTCTAAAGTTTTCTGTGCTCCCATCCCACTCCATAGGGAAGGGGCAGTGACTCTGAGCAGAAACATAGAAGGGGAATCATAGAAGGGTCACTGTAAACATTTTCAATTTGTTCTTTGCCCAGTACGAAACCACCAAAGGGCTTCAAGTAGAAGACGGACATTTTAAGGTCACGCTGGCTGTGGTGGGGTTGGACCATGAAAAAGTGGGAATGGGACTGTCCAGTCCAGGCAAGAGTTGAGGGTGACTTAAACTCTGGTAGAGGCCACAGAAATGGAGAGAAGTGGAGGGATGGGAGATATTTTTTGACATAGAGTAAAAGAAATCAAGGAAGTGGGAGTCCAGGGAGAAGGAAGACACTGTGGCGTAAAGGGGAGGACCACAAGATGCAGGGCCCATCCCAGATCTGCCTATAAACTGGGGTCCAGGGAATCTCTGTGTTGCAAATGGTACTTGTTGGTTCATTGTATGTATGCGGATGAAGCAGGTAGAGTGAGCTGAGCTCTTCTCTGTCATCCTAGCAAGTTGTACCTCCCCCACCCAATTTTTCACCAGGTACTACTAGCCCAGAGGACTCAGCTGCCAGCTCACAGGACAACTTCTCTGAGGAAATCAGTGAAGGCTGAGAGTGTCTATTCTTCCCTCCCACACCCGGCAGGATGGCCTCACCTCTTAAAACCCACATACAAAGATGGGAACAAAGGCCAGCCTACAGCAGTGCCCAGGAATGAACGAGAGAGAGAACAGTGGTTATACCTGTGAAATCGACCTGAATTTTGGTTATCTTCAATGCAAAGTGTGGCCTTCCTGCCTGCCCAAACCCCTTCCTCTGCTCAGTAGATTCTGTGACTTGCCTGGGTAAGGGCCCCAGGCCGGCTTCCTCAGCAGAGGGCTACAGTGGGGTTTCTGTTTTCATTCAAATATCTATGTCAAAGAAACCTCAAGGTCTCCTTTTTGTAAACCAGTAAGACATTTCCAACAAGGGAACAAGCGGGAGGAGAAGTGTAGGGGGATAGAGGGTATGGGAAGACTGGAAGATTAAGGAGGAAGAGAGAAAAGGGAGAGGTTTGTGGAGCTGAGCGTGTTGTGTGAGCTGACTGCCAGCTGTCCAGGCTTCTGGCAGCTGTTGGCTTCTGAGAAGTGGCCACAGGGAAGTAATGAGTCGGAGAGCATTCCCACAGGCTTGCTAGTGCCCAGGCAGGATGGGAGGAAATGCCGTCCTGGTTTGATCTAATCATTGGTCTGTCTTGAATCATTATTAAAAGCTGTCATTTTCTCCCTCCCTGGTGGCAAGGTTAGTGGAAAGAAATTAAACTAAAAGTAATGTCTTAAACCTATTAATTTAGAATGGTCAGAAAGAAAAGGAGCCTGCAGGAGAAAGAAAACCCCTGCCTTTATTTCCAGTTAATTGGGCCAAGGAAAACTCTCTCCTTCAAAATACTGAGCTGTTCTCATTGTTCTCTGGCATGTGCACAGAGTGCTGTCTGGCTCCAAGGCTGCATGTGCTCAGGAGCTCTCAGGACTGTCGCTTAACTGAGGACAAACAGCAGGGTGGGATCCAGCTTTTCTCAACGTGCCTGCAAGAAGTTAATGAGAAAGCCAAGAAAAAATACGTTTGAGAAGCACTGGGTTCAGAAAAAGTTAAATTGGTTTCTTTACTATATAGAGCCTTAAATATACTCATGTGTGATATGAATCTCCAAGAAGGGTGTGGAAGACTGTTGATTTTCTACCCAATACCATCCCCAACTCCACATCTTTGCTCAAATAGCCTGGATTTTTTGTTGTTGTTGTTATGATATCTGCCTGTTTCATGGGCTCCTCCCCAGTGCCAGGGAGGCATGTTGGTTGGTCTAAGGTCATCCTCCTTGATCGTGATTGCTTTAGGTGTCTAAAGGTGCTGCAGCCCTGCCCATGGGTGTAAGAAAAATCAGATATGGGGACTCCTAGGAAGGTTTTCCTCACTCTTAAAACAAAACACAAGATGAGTACTTTCCTCTTCCTGTCTTTGGACATTATCACATGTAGTCATGAGCTTGGAGCTGTCACAGTAACATTAGAATCACGAGGAAAAAGCCAAGAACATACGAAGAAGCTGCTTTTGATCCCTGATGTTCTTAAACTGTTTCATTAACTCGCTGGGTTTGTTTCTTCACTGTTCAGGCCATGGAGTGTTCTGTGTTTTTCAGCTAATAACACCCTGAAACCAAAGGGGACACAGTATACAGACATTCCTAAACTTGTTTGACCACACAAGGTCCCTCCAGACAGGCACTCATGGAGAACACGCTGGGAAAGGCCGATGGAGTAGGGGACGTGGAGTTGGGAATCAGAACTCCAGGTTCTACTTCAGGTTTTAAAAATCACATCAGTTCCTGGGCCTTATTTTCAATTTTGTGAAGAGAACGTGTTAACTAAGATGACATAAGCCAAATGCTTAATACTGTGCATGGCACATAGTAGGTGTGTCACAAATCATCATTATGAATAAAATGAGGAAGAGGAGAGGAATAATCCAGTTTCAAAAATCTCATTTCTGCCTAAGAGTTCTAACCACTCCAAAAAAAAAAAAAAAAGCCTGTGTTCTCTGGCCCCAGACCAGTTTGCAACATTCTCTAGACCTTCACTCAGCAGGTAAGTGAAGTGTTCTGAGTAACACTTCAGATCCATCGATGTCCTCAGTGAGAACCCCAGCCCCAGGGCCCACAGTTCCCTCATTCTTCTGCTAAAGCAAGCCCAGCCTTCTGCTGCTGGGTCAAGCTCGCTGGACAGTCCCTCCATGCATGCCAGTGGCTCCGGGATACTCCTCAGTGAGAACTAGCACAAGTATGAGACTCCCAGGCTGCCCCAGGAAAATCTCCAGTCCAGACACTCATGTGGATACCAATCCAGTGCTCTGAGGCTCAGAGCAGCAGCTGACAGACAGCTGATCTGGCCTTGGCTCTCTTCCTCTCTTTCTCTCTTCCATTGAGATATTTTATTTGTATGTATGCATTACATCCCTAGAAAAAGAATCCCAGGATTTTCTCTCCTGTGTGTGTGCATACATGATGCCAGCTAAGGTCATCAATCAGTATAATGACATCAAACAGATGGGACAGGAGCAGATTGTTCCGCCATTTTTCTAGATCTTTGAGTTGCACGTCAAATCTGGGGCTCCACACTTGTTTCACCCACACTTTTAAATGTGTTGGTGAGGTTCTCAAAACTCTCCCCAGCTCTGGGATCAAAAATCGATTTCAAATTCGCCAGTGTAACCATGCTTCATCATCACAGAAACCGGACGATGACTCTGGAGCACGGCCTGTTAACCTGGCGTTTGCCTCTTTTTTTGGTGTTGTTGATGCCTTTGAGAGCATTCATGGCATCAAGGCAGCATGGAAAGATGATGGAAAGACCGGGGCTTTGCCCGGTTGTTTGGGCTGAGGAAAGGCGGAGAGGGCGTGGCCGCGTGCGCGCATGCGCACCACACCCAGGCATCATCATGGCTCAGTAGACGTACCCTCTGAAAGGAGTGAGATAGACTGGGCAGTACTGTTATCCCCCTTTCACAGACCAAGAACTAGACATTCAGAGAGGTGCAGGGGCCTGCCCGGGGTGACATTCAGTCGGTGGCAGAGCCACTTGTGAGAACAGGCCTCTGGCTCCCAGGCCATCGCTCTTCCCACGTCAGGTATTCAG